GACATTTGAGCTGGTGTAGGCATACGGACGAGAATCGTACTACCCTAGTTGATTCCCACTCCGTTCTAGGTTAGCTGATTTGGGATTTACAAGCTGACGGGCCACAAATTACTCTGAATTTACTGACGACCGTAAATGTCAACGTGCCAGTTCTCGACTGCTGTCTAACTGTGTGAAGGCACCAGTGTACCAGGGCCTTTGACTATCACTGTCATTTCAGGACTATGATTCTTCGGAAAGTATATGCCAGTCTGTTGGTGGCTGGTATGTGATGTACCTGTAGTGTCTGTTAGTCTTGCGTTTGGCGGGCGTGCTTATTGTGATTATGCTTAGTTGGAGTTGCGACAGTATTTCATTTCAATATACAGTCCTTGGACTTGCCTGCACTCATTTCTTGCCAACATGGGTTTGCGTGCTTCGAGTTTGGACAGGCGAGATGGCCCAAGTGGTTAGAGCGCGAATTTACTTTACTAAAGGTTCGTGGTTCGAACCCGACCTCTGCCACTCGACTTCCCCTGTCTAGGCCTGGGCGACCTGGCAGTATCCCAGCCCTCGTGCTTCCTCCGGGTGGCATGGCAGCTAGGCACCGGAAGGGTGTTACAACTGAACGATTGTTATTATTATTAGTAGTATATAGTAGTAGTAAAGGTAGGTAACAGGTCACGCGCAACGGGATGAATAGAAAGACAGCTACCACAGGAAGTAGTATGTAACACTGGGCTTCCGCGGAATACCCATTCGCACAAAAATTTGAATCTTATTGTGCGATTACTCCATGGCGAAGGTAGGCGCTGTGTTGTCAAGCGGCATGAGGCAACATCATTGGACAGTTTGCTCAACTAGGCGGCAGCAGAGTTTCATGGATCTCTCCAGGTGATTATCGTGGTTGATATGTAAGCTGCCAACACAAGGCGTCGCCCCAGTAGAATGAGGCCATAACAGCCGAATTAATTAATCAGCCATGCACAGCATGCAGTTACAGGCAGGTGGTGCGTTGTATGGGGGCGGTTTTCACAACCCTGCTGCGGTCAGATAGGTCAAAGGAGAGTCGGTACTTCGGATAAGTGGACGGTTTTGCTCTTTAATGCGTACTGAATGCTACAGTTGGAATATTTGCGGGCGTATTCATTTCCCAATCGCCTCTTAGGGGGTCATCATTCAGATGACAGTTCCCTCCCAGCAGTAGGTCCGGAAAGATTAAACCAAGCGGTGTGAATGACTGCCGTACTGTGACTGCCCGTGGTTCTCCACAGGAGGTTGCATCTCTAGTAGAAGAAGTTGGGATTCCGCTATTAAGCTATTAAGGTCATTTCTTATCCAGGATTTCATGTGGCGTACAGAAACATATGAAATTCAATCTATCGGACCCGGAAAACCCGCTGCAAGACTCCTACAGTCAAGCCGATTGACTCAGCGGAAGCGTTCGAAAAAAATTATACAAAGTGAATCACTGGATGTTAAGGGCGATGGATAGACGACCTGTTATCCAAGTCAGTAGGGAAGCAAATTTTACTAACGCTGTCAAAAAACTATCTCGCTCCATATTTTGTTATCCGTACCTCCCTGTAAGAAACGATTCCATGGAACACCACCAGGAATGCGCTCTATATTCTAGCATGGAAGAAACCAGAACTCTGTGTTTCAGTACAGTGACAGGTGGTCTGAGTGTTCGACAAGACGAGGATACTCATCTTTCAAACCGTTGACAAAAGACATTCCTCAAAGGTGAACACGGTTGTCGGTTCGGATGCCATAGTCAAGTTTATCTAGCGTGGGCTGCCGCAGTAGTGATAACAAATTCGCCTCATCTGTCAGATATCTGGGGTTCAAACACCAAGGACAAGGATTAGCCTCTCATTTGCGAAGCTTGAGATCAGAGCTTGCCGTTCTCGGCGTGGACTAATTAGAATAGGTGAATCAGGACAGAGGCAGTAGTGTTCAAAAAAGTAGATACTAATATGTAAGAGTAGGTACGAAAAATAGTGGAAGCGTACATCGAACTTTCGACGCACCCAGTAGCTGACCTTTCTTTCTGAGCCCTCGAAATCCTTGCTGTAAGGAATTTATCGGCTGATAATGAGTTGTTCGAAAACACCAAAAAAAACCACGTTTTAAGTGAGCGGACAAATGGAAAGTTCTCACACGCACTGTCTGTCGATAGAAGATATCAGGGGTTGACCTACGTTAGTCATGTACCACCAGTTAGTCGCACTCAATCCAATTGATGCCACCGAAGGTACCATGCCGGCTTCACGCGTTTCATTCTGGTCATCCAGAAGACTATGTTGACGGAGTGAGTCACTGAGCAATAAGCAGTCAAAGGGTGACGACAAATGATCGATTTCATTACTCATCGGTTTGTGTGGGCTCGAAACCACTAGGCTCAGATCAAGCTGTTATCGTTCCCGCGTGCAAAGAATCTTTGACATTCTGTGGATAAAATAGGTGGAATGAAACCGAACAGAAAATTGCGGATTTATGCCAGTCGAAGAAAATTCGGTCAGAATCATGCTAAGAAATATCGTGACTGAAAGGTTGGAAGATCCAGCTGGAACACTAGTAGTTAATGCCATTCAATCGATATAACTACCTTTATTTGATTCGTCCTGAAGCATTGGGCTGGTGTTTTTTAGACTCCGGACCGAACAATATAGTTGAGCACGGATCAGAGGGAAATTAGTACTGGAGAAGCTGATACGTAAATCGATGGCAACTGAAACTGTAGAGATTGTAGCCGCACAGGTGGACCATTATTGACTGATCCGGTGATGGTTCTCTGCTGGGGAGTCGTTTGCCCTGCTCTCTGAGGCGTCAGTTGTTCAGCGAATTCTCTAGTCCTTCGGGCATCGCTGGGCGGATTATTCCGAAACACTCCATCTGTCAGCACCCTCCGCAACAATGCTTCGCCAATAGGACGGATTGCACTTGGTTCCCCGAAGTCAGTTTTAGACGAGACATATAGGGATGGGGGAAATGTGTTTTCATATTCACAGTGGCCTCACAGACAAATGCACGATACGTGAAGCACGTTTTGACCGAAATTACCGGTCGCGGGAAATCAATTACTTAAGCCACGAATTTGAGCGCGAAACACATGTATCCTAATCAAGGCCTGAGAATGGTAACAAGACAATTTAACCGTTTATTCACGGTCAAAGGTCAGTTTTACACATTTGTGGAACAAACCAATTGAAGTTGACACAATTGCTGGCACATGGGTTTGATCTAATTTCTCGATATTCTACGTATCAGAGAAAATACACTCCAGAGCCTTGAGAGAACAAATGAGTACGCGTTACGTTCAGCTGCCGCTGGTTCGCCACAAGTTGGGAATTGTGTAAGGCCGAACTAGAACACAACACTCGTGATGGACCATTTTGATAGAGTATTCCGTCCACCTGAATGTGCTGCACCGGGCCGCACCATGTTTCGATATTCGGGATGTTGCGATTCTTGTATAGGGATGGTTCAGCTGTAGCACCCTTTCGGTGCCTAACTGTCTGTCACCCGTAGGAAGCACGAGGGCTGAGATGCTACCAAGCTGCCCAAGCCTAGACAGGGGAAGGTCGGGTTCGAACCATGGATGTTCAGTAAATTTGCGCTCAAACCATCTGAGCCATCTCACCCAATACAAGCTGATTCCAAATCCACATTTGAGAGGAATTTGTAACTCGTAAGGAGATAAAACACATCTTAACCTTCTCTCTGGTGTGTCCTTTTTAATGACGTGTTACTTAAATTCAGTCTGCAAGGTCCACAAGTTCTCGCCGTTCTCCAGTTTGATTTTTACGTTACACACTGTTGACCACTTAGAAGATTGAACAACAGAGCATTTCGAACAGATCCAACGACGCACATCTTAAGCTGACCTGCAGCTTCACTTTCCCAAGATGGGTGTGGAAGAGTTTTCAGCGACCTTGTGAGTGGATTCCTTTATGACACAATAGGACGTTATCTACAGGAGAGACACTTCTAGGAAAGGGAGAAACGCAACCTAAGATGGATCGCCAAAGTCCAGGGTTGTTTGATTGAGAATTATTTGTCGATTTGAATTTGCATGAGTTCCGGTCTAAACCTGTAATTAAACAGAACTAATTTATTGGTGCTAGCCGTGGCGTTCGCGTCTCGGTCTTGTTCACAAGCCAGTCTATATTGACAGTTTCAGCATAGACCAAGCGATCGCATAGCTATTTTTCAAGCTGAACGCTACATGTAAGATCCCGTCCATACTTAAACCGGCTTGTCGTTGGTTGTTTGACTAGCCACAATAAACAGATTACCTGACAGTCGTCACGTAATATTACAAAGTGAACGAATCCAAATGAATAACGATGTACGAAACACAAGATTTCAATCAGTTCTGTCAACGACTTTCGTAGAGAATCTCCGAAAATTCCGGATCACCAGAATCACCTTTCGGATGTTGTTCAGCTGCGGATTTCTCATTAAAGAAGGACGTTTTACCTAAACAAAAGTTGAACCTCTCAAACATTATGTTCCCTTCTTGAATATTTTTTGAATATTCTTGATGATGTCTGTCCCATTTACCCGAATGGACTGATCATGCTAACACCAGAATAGCAATCTGGTGAAGAAGCCTCGAAAACACATCACAATATACTGTGATTGTTCATCCGTTTTTACTACCGTGATTTTGAGTTCTGGGAGTGTAAGCACACAATTCAGAGGGAAGGACAAGAAATCTACCAGCCAGCGTACACTGGTCTACGTCACATCGGTGCAGTCCGCCCCGGCACACCACCTCAAGGATCAACAATTGGGGCCTTTTAAGGTCACCAGTACGTCACTTGCTTTTAGGTCACAATGGGTAGGACGGTGATGTCCTAGCTAAAAATTCGACCACGTGATTAGCCGCCATAGGCCTACTCAAAAACCACGTGCAGGCAGGCTCCGGTGGTTGGTTCCAGTAGGGTAAAACCACCTCTTGTCCCGGGACTTTCGAAATGAACAGGTTTAAGACATTTTATTCCCAAACAGTATATCACGGAGACGGTCATGCACTAGCCGGCGACAGACAATCCGAGAAACGCCCACCAGCAGGCCCCGGACACACCTCACTGACTGGAGACGGACTGAATACAGATCACGTGAAACATCAGATGTTGATTATTGACGTGTGGGCTTACACTTTCATCATTGACAGGAGTTCCATTGCCATGCTGTCATCGGATAAGCACGTCTTAGTTCATAATGAAAAGAACGGGGCGGAGATTGACGACGATTGACCTAATGCACATGGAAAAACTGAACGGTCAACTTTTTTCGCTTCACATATCAAACAGTATAGAGAACAGTGAAAAACCAATCACCGACTAAATTTTTCCCCCGGAAAATTGGTTAAAAGTTGCGAAATTGACAAGCATGGAATATTGGAATCTCAAGAACTTCCTCAATTATTCTTCCAGGAAGCCCTCGGTCGTGCGCTAATCAAGTAAATCATACTAATATGTTTTGAGATAATCTAAATGACTACGTATATCAAATGAGGCAAAACTCAAATTTGTTGCGATATGAAGTTAGCTCTCTGTGTAGGCCAATCTGCACTTAGGGTACGCATGCTTACGCTGGTCCTCAGTGCGTAATTCTACATCCTGGAGCTCCACGTTTCGCTTCTTCATATGCCTTAGTGTGCGATTGTGTTATCGGAGAGTTTAATCATAATATTTTTTAAAAAAAAGTCCAGTAGATTTCAAGCGTCTGCGAGAAGTCCTATCAGGCGGATCAGTCGACCGACACAACCAAGGTATGTTACTGCGTCATCGTTCGAGGCGTCGGGCTTTCCGCACGCACCACTCAAGCACGAACATGTTCACCCGTTTAGATGTGAAAATTCAGATGCGTCCAGCATGCGCCGGTGATAACACGCTCGCCTAGCATACCAAATGTCCGCGGTTCCAACTCCAGCACGGCCAATGATATGAGCTCCAATAATAGCGAAACCCAAATCAATTGTTTCCCCCTTTGGTGTGGACTCACCAGAACGATCACACCGAGAAAGGGGGACGACTGTTCAAACAAGAGTGATGTGAGCGTGTATCCCACAAATCCCGCAACTATGCACAGCTAAACTGTTAGTAACGAAGACGTTAGCTGGTGTCAGTTGATGCGGAACGGATACACAGTATAATTTTAAATATGGGCTCTTCTGCGAAGATTGAAATGGCATGGAGAAGATTCTTTATGCAGTTGGTATTATGTCCCCCACCCCCGACAGCGCTCCAGAGGACAGGTAACTTCCACATAAAGAGCATCACCATGTAATATAAAAGATGGGGACGACTTTAGACATGATTTCTTTGCAATAAATTGAAGCTGTGTTGGAAGTAAAAGGTTGAGACGGGTGAAAGATTGAAGTGTGAACAACATTTGGTTGCTTTAGGTGAGCTCAGAATTGAAGAGTCTAGTATAATACCAGTTATAGTCTGATTCTAAGTTTCCGTTTTCAAGGAATCTCGGGGACTGCGCCTACCTGATGAGCCCCAAGAAGGGCGAAACCGATCGTGAGCTGTCGAGGAATTTTCAGGAACCTTATGACTAGTGCATTACGAAAACTTTCTGATATTTTTCTTCTTAAAGGAGTGTAGGCCCTAACACCGACGTACCAAAGAGCACTCAACACAGAATTAGCGCATCACAGGAGCGAAGCCGTGGAACAATTGACAGTTCATAATGGGTAAGGTCACCTACCGATTGTTCGTGTGTGCCACTCGACAAATCTAACTAAGGATAAAATCACAAGGGCTTGTCCCTGTGTGTGTGTGCTGATTGTTCGTGTGTGCCGGTCGACAAATCTAACTAAAGATAAAATCACAAGGGTTTGTCCCTGTGTGTTTGTGCGCGCGCTTGCGACCTCCGGTGTCTCGCCCACATCAATCATGCCAATGGGCAATCTGGTTTCTTGCCCACATCAATCATGCCTATGGGCAACCCTACTGTTCAAGCACCAGGTGTCCCGTGTTTATAAACCGTTCTGTCAGTCGAATTCACAGCTGCGTACACTAGGTTCTCAGAAGGCGGTGTTGTTATTCCGAGCCTATCGGAAGCAGACTAGCAGTTAAAACAGTGACCGTATAGCTGTTGATGGAACAACACTCTCACGAGTGTGCCAGCATCAGAGCCTACTGAGCAGACAGCTATCTAGCAAAAAGGACAGTTGGTATTTTAATGTGTGCAAGCTCATCAACCCTATCCCGTCATAATTCATGGGTAGAATCTCCAGCCGTAGCATTAAACCTGAAGGAGGACAGAACCCGTCTATGGAAGCGCGACTGAGGATAGCATTTCACTCTCACAAACTGCTTGTTCCAGCAACACTGACACCGAATCAAGACACAGAAAATGCACAGCTTCCATCAGATGAGAGGCTACAAAGAATGTTGAGGCACACCAAACAGTGTGCGTCATCTCTTCTTCCGTTACTATGTGCTTGTCAAGTCAAAACTGATTGATCTGCGCTAACTTACAGCCTGATCACAGGCACCTGGAAACATCACTGACACTGTCAGGTTTTATTTGATTCCTCTTGGAAAGAAAAGGGTGAGGCTGTTAGGGAGGTTTGTTAGGGTTCCTAATGTTTTAGAGATCATAAACAGAGTTGTGGATAGTTTCGGGCTAGACTTTCTGGCAGCCAATGTCTGCACAAACTCCAAAAATTGGCTCGCTTTTTGATGAGTTCTACCTCTGGGAATCAAGGTAAATAGCCACATTTTGTCTGATTCCAGCTTCATACATTGTACACCGATGCTATCATCCATAGTTTAGCTCAGTATGGATGTAGATAGGTTGGTAATCGACCTGATGTAATTTTTTACTATGCGCTTCATGGTCATTGTCCATTATTTGGACTATTTAATTTTCATTCAGAAATGAATTTGCGATCTGATTACTGGACTAGATGAAAGAACTGCATGAATTTCAGGTCTTTCACCATCCGAGTCGCGATATTTTTGAAGACGTCTTAAAAGAAGTTGAACCAAATCGCAGACAGGCAGAGCCACTTGACGGAGCCTGCTTGGTAAGTATTTGCAGCTCACTAGTGGGAACTCTTCTCAGATGCTGAGTGCCTGTCATTCATTTGAATGAAGTATTATGAAGACAAACACCGCGGGGTTCCAATTATTTGATCGCGATTCGGTGAAACAACTCTTCTTACCAGCGGATACTCCCTAAACCGATCAAAAAACATTCGAACACCTGGAGCGTTTGCTTTGATGGGCGGCCAACTTTTTCGTTTCAACGTCACCCTCCAAAACGGCCTTAAATCCCTCTAGAAGGTCATTCGTTTTTGCCAATCCTGCTCCCATTAACCTCTTGGTGTCTACCGAGCTGATAGAAATTGGAGGTTTTTCTGTTCAAATAGATATATTCACATTTGCAATGTCAAAGGCCATGTGATTCTTACAGACTTCAGTATAAAGAAGGTTATTGCTAATTGGTTAATTTAAAAATACGCACTCTGAGTGTCGTTTGGCGAAACACTTTCATAGAAATTCGTTTTGGCTGGCCGTTCAAAGTGTGTTCTGGTGGTTGAAGAAAACTTTGGGTGTTCTACACAGTGAAGGACAACTGTAAGCTGATGCTCTCGCATTCCATTTGGCTTGGGGCAGCCGGCTAATCAGGTGCTGTGTAAGAGAAATGGGAGCAGACTGGGTTTCTCTGCTGGGGTGTACGGCCTACCGACTGCATACTGATTCGACCGGATTACTTGGCCCACAGGACCCTGATAACCAGTAATGACAGTTGCCAATAGAACCAGCGTTGTCTCTATACCGTCGAACCATCCCGTCAAAGTGTATTAGGCTGCGGGAGTTATTTGGAATTACAAGTCGTCTGCTAGTCCATTTCGGAAGCAACTTAGACAAGACCAGTTCATGTGATCTGATGAAGCATTCGTTCCTGGGGAACACGTGGCTCGGATATAAGATGTGACCTAGTGGAAACAGTTAAACTGACCCCTCACAGTTTTGATGCTGCTTTCACGTGCACTTTTTATTGGATTTGAAAACCCAAATAACGGCTTCCGACTTTTCGCAAGTTCGAAGACTGTCAAAACGAACCTGTGGTCATCCCAACTGCTAGGGTAACAACTTCGACTGAAAGCCAGCAGACATTGCCCTGTTTGTCCAACAGAGAGGTCAGCTTCATGTTACCGCTCCATGGTTCCAACGGTGAAGTGAGGATATTAGTTAGTAGGCCTCATGGAACAACTGCCAAAACCACGGGCGATTCAGTAGACTTTCCAATATCTGTTAAGTAGGGGAAATGTAGTTCTGAAAATGCAAAGATGATAGATTTTCACTCAAAAGAATATGAGCCGAAAATTTATCCACTCTGCGCGGATCAGATCAATCGGATGCTGTTGTGTGTATACAATACCCAGTGTACAGAGCAGCGTAGTTAGAAGTGGTGGTCCCACAATGACAGTCATGGCGACTGCCACTCAGTTCATGAGGAGTTGCTCTCATTTCGACAGACTTCTCAGGCATACATCACAGATATTCCTCCAAGTAGATCAGACATCGAGGAAGGAAGCTCCCTTACCTCTTCTGTGAGTCTGCACTCAATGTCTTCTGACAGGAAGATCCATGTTGTGTCCTCAGAAATGTGATCTTCCTTCGAATGGGCCTCTCCTTCGCGTGGCTCAACGCAGCATTCAACAACTACACTTCAAGCAGGTGAAGTACCCACAAGAGAGCCGTACTCAATAAATCCTTGAGAAAATTGTCAACTTTGTCAAATGAGAATTTGTTTTACATGGGCATAAATCAGTCAGGACCTGATGTAATAGCTCTCTATGGATGCACACAGCGAAATGACTCTCTACTCACAGACTTCTGGCGTAAATTAACAACCTCATTCTCCTCACTCAGTAAAATTTTGCAATGACTATGCTGACTTTCGTGCTTTAGACGGATCAAAATGCTACAAGAATCACTCTTAGCTTTAATAAGTTTTATTCATTCCAGTTTTCTCGTCATTGTCAGCGAATCATCAATATGAAACGGGCTATGACCTCGGACGTTGGAAATTCATGCTAATTTAAGGCTCTAGTGACCCTTTGAAATAGGCAGACTATTTCTAGGGGATACCGAGTAAAAGAAAGGCATACACTGCGTCGAATCATATGACCGCCCGTTTGTTTACAGTCCAGTTTCCATCAAGACAAGTGAGTGTACACACCTGCGCCGTAGTTCTGCTCATTGAGAACCTGTTGTGGCTTTCG